TAAGAATTTTGCTTAGAATCTGTCTCCATTCGATTTCTCGATCGATTCCTGGAGAAGTTTTTTTTTAAAATATTTTTCACCCCAGAGAAAGGGTGGTGATCTACCCCCCGGGCCAAAAGCGCAAGTTGGCAATATGTAACTTTTGTTTCTTAAGGTATTCCCCACCTACTTCACCAATTTTCATGAAAATCGATGGAGATTCAACGAAATCGGAGGGGAAAACCTTCATTGATTGGACTATAAGTATTTTGTCATTATTCTTATTATTATTTTGATTTTAATTTTTAAATACTCTAAAGACATTTATCAGCTGTAATCTGGAATCAGAACGATTCCCTAAGGGCAACTTATCTGTTTTGGGTATCAAGCAATCTACTTTACTATTAAAGCTTTTTCACTCGTGTCACGGTGTGCGTAATTGAACTACTCCGGAACGGCACGACCGATTTTCGTGAAATTTATATGCATATAGGTCTGAGAATCGGACAACATCTATTTTTCATCCCCCTAAATGCTATGCGGGCTATGCGGGTACACCGCTAAAAAAAATATTTGAAAAAAAAAAAATGATTTTTTTTTGATACATCATACAATAATACATACGTACAACCCAAAATTTTCACACTTCTACCACCAACCCTTATATTTTTATGGCTGTACGAAGTCCGCTGAGACAGCTAGTGTTATAATATTTGTTTTAATACATATTACTTTTGCATTATTTACATATCTTTACACCGAGTTTTTTATATATAATTATACTCTTGTCTTCAATAAATTTTTAAATCGGCTATGTCACCTTTCTTCATATTTTGTTGATTACTACTATCTGTCGTGGTGTTTGAATTTTCCTCTGCTAGTTACTGGCTTGGCTTCTTTACACTATGGACTGTATAGTTTTATAAAATTATCTAATTCATAGTGAAAAATGCATGAAAATCAGTTCAGTACTTTTTGAGATCTTCGCAAACATACAGATGCGGTGGAGAACTATTTTATAAGTCAGCTTGATTTGTTTAGAAAAACATGAATCTGCTATTTGAAAAAACACAAAAAGCATTCCTTAGTCAATATTGAAACGATAAATCATTATTGACGTAGGTTTTTTTTCGTTTTATCGTATTATTTCACGAATAGATTCGAGTAGCAATTTCCCTTCTTCCAAGGAATGTAAGGGATAAAAGGAAACTTGTACATTACCTTACCCTGAATAAACAATAATTTTCGCAGTGGGCGTTGTTTTCTTGTGGGCGGTGACAATGCCAGTCCTGATTATGATTGATCTAGGGGTGAAATCCCTATTCCCAATTTTCCAAGTGACACAAATTCTTTGGAAATCTTAATTTTGTTTACTTACTGAAGTATACTATTTTTTATCGTTAAAATGCGTATTCAATTCTCATCATTTTGCTATATTTCTACATTTTAACTTTGCACCATAAAAAGAACTTGTGTGATAAAATTGAAAAAGACGAGATTTGCATTCCAAAGTTAGCTCATAAAGACTGATATGATAAGTTATTATATAAGATTGAAATTGATAGTTCATCATGTCGTCGTATTCGTCGTATCACATTGTTAGAATGGTTTTAATAATGTTTATATTTTACAAACAGTGGTATAAAAAATACACACAAGGGAAATACTTACTAATTATTAATAACTAATTCTTCTGAAGAAGGCTGTTACAATGAATCATCATGGATCCTGAAGATATAATGGTGCAAGTTATACATGATTTACTTGTGTAATTAGGTGTTAAAAAGAGGAATATATAATAATAATATAATATAGCCTTAATGCAGATCAACTTAAACTACTACCATAACATTTACAGAATATAGTAAAATTTTAATTTATTCTAATATTTGCTGTTTACTTGTTTTCTGCAGATATGTTTGCCAATCGGTGTAGGCCTCCTCCAACCTTTTCTTACTTGAACCACTCTATTCCACATTCCTCCTGCTACTTCTCCGATATCATCATCCCGCCTTTTCTGCGGTCTACATTTCTTCTTTTTACCTTCCCTCCTTCAAAAGAGGAATATACTCCCCTATAAATAAAATAAATGATGTGGTGTCGTAGGACACCAGGTAGGAACGAAGTTCCTTCGGCTAATGTAGAATCGACACAAATTGCAAACTCGCTTGTGTATGCGACTGTCGCGCCTGCGCACGTCTCATTTAACGGTTTTATTCCACGCACTTTTTTCCACGGATTTTTTCTTACGGTTTTACTATCACATTTTTTTCAGTTCGGTCGCGCAGCAAAATCCCTATCCCCTCCAAGCCTGCCATAAGGAACTTCGTCGCGCCTGCGCACATCTCATTTAACGGTTTTATTCCACGCACTTTTTTCCACGGATTTTTTCTTACGGTTTTACTATCACATTTTTTTCAGTTCGGTTAGCTAGTGTTCGTAAAGATTGCTAGGCAGGACTGGCCCACAGTTTATAATAAACTACAATGTCATAATAATCCAGTAATGCAGCCCCGTCGCTCTGCCACCCCCCTGGACTTAACCACAGTTTAGTATAATATACGACAATAATCCAGTGTTGGTATAATGCCACAATAATTTGGGGTTGCACCCCCGTCGCTCTGTCATCCCCTGTTAAGTACTGACCTTGTTATCATGTCTAGCTTAAGTTTACAGCAGATGACAGGCGTTCCTGGTCCACAGCTCGGTATAACGTCACAAATATCCAGATTTCGTGTAATGTCACAATATTCCAGTGCTGCACCCTCGTAGCTGTGCCACCCCCTACATACGCACCTAATTATCATGTCCCGCTAGCTTTCGTAAAGGATGCTAGGCAGACTGGCCCACAGTTTAGAATAAACTACAATGTCACAATAATCCAGTGATGCACGCCCGTCGCTCTGCCACCTCCTGATAAGTACTCACCTTGTAATCATAATCATGTCTCACAGGCGTTACTGGTCCACAGCTTGATATAACTTCACAAATATCCAGTGTTGGTGTAATATCACAATATTTCAGTGATGCACCCTCGTCGCTCTACCACCCCCTATAACTTCACACATATTCAGTGTTGGTGTAATATAATAATATTTCAGTGATGCACCCTCGTCGCTCTACCACCCCCTATAACTTCACACATATTCAGTGTTGGTGTAATATCACAATATTTCAGTGATGCACCGTTGTCGCTCTACCACCCGCTATAACTTCACACATATTTAGTGTTGGTGTAATATCACAATATTTCAGTGATGCACCGTTGTCGCTCTACCACCCCCTATAACTTCACACATATTCACTGTTGGTGTAGTATCACAATATTTCAGTGATGCACGCTCGTCGCTCTACCACTCCCTATAACTTCACACATATTCAGTGTTGGTGTAATATCACAATATTTCAGTGATGCACCCTCATCGCTCTCTCTCCTGCCGTAAGGAACTTCGTCGCACCTGCGCACGTCTCATTTAACGGTTTTATTCCACGCACTTTTTTCCACGGATTTTTTCTTACGGTTTTACTGTCACATTTTTATCAGTTCGGTCGCGCAGCAAAATCCCTATCCCCTCCAAGCCTGCCGTAAGGAACTTCGTTCCAATAAATAAAAAAAATGGGTGCGTGTACTTATGTAGGCGCGTGAGAAGTTATCCTTCTTTGGCATCGTTTAAAATTAGTTTTTAATTGCATGCAAATAATTAATTACAATAAATTAATAAAAAGTCTGGAAAAGGACACAGTCAATAAAGTTCAGTTTTAATTTGAAAAAATAAATAAATAATCAAAATATTCAATTAAAATCGCTACTGAATATAATTTATTAGAACATATGTGATTTGCACTTGTATGAAACTCAAACACGTATTCCGAATAAACAAACTAGAAACATGTGGATAAATATTATAAATATGAATACCTATAACTGTTACTTTATTACAAAAAATAAAGATGTGGTTTTTGGTTCTACTACACCAATGGTCAAGAGATGGCGCTGTAGTCTCCTGAATCGCGCTTTGGTTCCGTTGTTCCAGATTAATAAATACTTTTGATAGGCCTTCACAATGCAGTCGTTAGCACCCACTAAATAGAGATTCTATTTCTATTTTGTTGGTAGATTTTCTTAATGTGCGGTAAACACAAAAGTAACAGCATGAAGTTGGTCGCTTTAGCGAAAATTTTGTGTTACAGTGATGCGCGCGCATCTTAAAATTTCACTCTCATCATTTTTTCATAACGCGCCTAAAGAAGTATAACTTCAATAAATATTTCCAACACTCACACCAATTAGCCTAGCCCCAAAGTAAGCACTGTAGGCTTGTGTTATGGGATACTACGGTAACGGATAGAATACATATACTGTACATATATAAGAATATTTATTCAGAAATACATATTAAACATCCATGACTGAAGTACAAATGCTCGTATTCATCACACAAACATCTGCCCCCACCAGGATTCAAACCCGGGACCTCTCGAGTAGGCGGCACCATGAAACCCGGCGTAAAAACCACTCGGCCACGGAGGTCGTCAAATATATTCAATAATTCCATCTTTATAGAAAAAAAAACTCTTAACTCAGCATAAAGCGGCAATTTTTCAGACTAGCAGTCAGTTCTACAGGTTGAAAAACAACTGCGAAGCTGTGGAAATCCTCGATTACATTTATACTTCAAATTTAATAATAAACACCAGAAAAACACACCATTTATCGAAAGGAACTGAAAATAATGAAATTATAAAAAGAAATTATGAAAAAGAAACAGGTCCTGATTAAGGGCACAACTTTTCTCAGATTATCCGATACTTATATTGCGTAGGTGCAAACTCTAATAGGTGTACAGTCAACAACACAAAAAATAAGCACATAATACCAAATTTTACTAGCTGAATGTGAAACTTATGTCAGAAAAGATAAAGCAATAAGTCAGTTGTAGTTTGATCAGTTTTGTGTTACTTGGGCAGTTGGTGATTGTACCTTCGCCGGGCGCCTTCAAAGCTCGGTATGTCACGCACGCATGCGCCAAATAACATCGATCTCCAAACTCCAGTCCCCAATCGCACCCTTCCCACCTCCACCTTTCCCCACAGACATCTCCCCGACACGTGTAATGCCCACGTAACAGGGATAACTCATTTCGCGGTAACAATCTACTGATACTGTACCAGTATATAAACGGTACGCAAGTATAGCATGAAAGCATTTTAGCCAAATTTCCTCTGACCAAAAAAGTGAGCACATAAATGTCTGACGCCGTACCTAGTTGCTAACCGAAGTCAAGATCGACCAGTTTTTGTGGGTTGATCTAAAGTATAATAACATAAGAAGTGTCTCGGATTGCGAACTCTGCCACATGTTCGATTGGTGGTCGGCTAATACATGATTTATTACATTTAGCAATGCTTATATGGCTATCATCGGCACCTAATAAAGATAGATGTTTAAGTAAATGCAATGAACTTTTAATTTATTCAAGAATATTGCAATAGAAAATGTTCAGTAATATCTTTGAAAAAAAAAAATTTTTGTCTAATTCTTCCTATTTAATGGAAATCTCAGATACTTCTCAATGAAAATCTAAAATCTAAAAAATGGTAGAAATGATATTCAAACTTCTGGTCCCTTTTATAGAACAAAAAAAAGCATCTTTGTAGTGCTGAATCTAGTACTAAATAGTGTAAAATAAAATTTCTTACTGATATGAATAGACTGTCTGTATAGGCAGTCTATTCTCCACAACTTTAAATTAAAAAGGGAATAGGGCGATCGCTGGTCGAATTCGGCCGGGCCCGATGACGGAAGGACGGCGGGAGGGGCGGTGCAGCTGCCGGCCGGCGCGGCGGTGCATCATCATCCCCCCCAGGGCCCGCCCCCCTCGCCGCGCCGGCCCATTGCCAAGTTCAATGCCAAGGTCATGCGCGACCGAGTGCGACTGCGCGCCGCAATGCAGGAGCGACCGGCGAAGCGGGCCGGCCAGCCGTCAGTGCCTCGCAGACGACCGCGACACACGCCGCATTGCATCTGAATCCGTGCTCCACCTGATTCGCACTTCCGTAATACCTATTTCCATAATAAAAAAGATAGTCGTTGTGAGCGAACATGCCGGTCTGGTCCGACTTTCGGGAGCTTCCGTGAAAATGACGGAATTCCTAGACATGTGCGATCCGACGACGCCTTCAGCACGAGCTGTTTAAATTATGCAACATCACGTCATATCACAAGGCTTCAGTAAGTAATATATACTAACATTTTAATTGATCACATCATGAAAGTTTTCCGGAATCATATTTACCTTTTCTATGTTAACATTAAGCAATTTCTTTTGTTGCTGAACACATTTTCGTTGTCCATTAATAAAACCAAGTAAGCCATATAAAAAAAAACATTCGGGCGTCATGTTACGTGTACTGCGGCCATGTTTGTTCTAGACATTAGATTGTCAACATAACTACGTGTCCTCTATGTAACTCGGAACTACTCGACCTGCCTCTTATCACTATTATTCTACATCGCCCTTCATTCTTATAGTTAAAATTATTAAAAAAAATATCTTATTTTCTCCACCGTCCGGCGGCGTACGTAAAAATTTTCCATCAAAACAGAACAAAGTCGAACAATGCAGACGCAAAAAAATAGACTAATAATTCCTGGACACTAAAAGCCTTTGAGTAATGGGTGGATCGCCGGCTGCGGAATCATCTAAGATCCATCAAGGGCATCAACTAAACGACTAAGGGCCACCGGTCTGACGCTATGTATCCTGTTGTAGCTCGCAAAAAATGTCGAGCGCATGAGTTCAAGGCGATCGGGTGAACCCAGCGACGACGTGGCTGTTTTAGGCCGCTTCAAATGAATTATTTTGTAAGTTGATCATTACTCAGGCGCATGTCCAAAGCACTTACCTGTTTTTAGAATACCACCTGCTGTTCGGTTGCGTTCTCGTGATCACTTGCTACCGTGTAATGTACGCACAGATTTTTATTGCCACTTCCGCAACCAAATAACACCCGTATCAAAACTAGAGGTGACCTAGAAGCTCGGCTAAATTTTATCATCAATCATCCACCTTTTCTTGGATATGAGGAACGGATAGGTAAGCACCCGCGACTTGGACTGTACTGCATACAATGTCTAAGGTCTCCCACACAAACTTCTTTCCACCAGTTGTTTTGTTAAGTGTATAATTATATTTTAATCATTTACGTTTATCTTAGCTTAAATCTCTAGGGTCCTAAAATTCATCAAGTTGAAGCTAAATATGGATAGTAAGATTTACATTCGCATTCACAATATTAGTATGGATACTCGAAGATATAAAAAGTAGGGTGTCAAAGATAGCTTAATATAATACACCAGCTGCTAGCTTTATCACAGCTAACTATAGTATATCAACAGTTGGCAACCTGTTAGTTTTTCCGCATAACAACTTGGACGCGACGTTAATTGTGCAATATTATATTTGATTGCAATTTACTTTGATATCGCGAAGCAGTGTCGTTATGGGTATCAACTCATACTAATGTTATTGTAACAATGATGCCTTTGATACTCTGTACCCAAATGCGTGCTGTTTGTTATAGTCTTTCCAGGACACTGATTTTTAGCGGTAGAGTCCGAAATAGTACCCAAATTAACTTATCTGCTCACTCGATTCAAACATAAACGAGTATGCTATTTGTAATGTTTCCAAAAAACTTAATTTAAACCAGAAATGCGGATAATGCCACATCATCGTAATCTCGAAATTATATATTAAATTTGTTACAAGGTACGTACTCATTATGTTGTTAGTTATTCTGCCGGATGTTCTTTGGATATATTGAATAGCTGTTTTGATTACGATTTTGTCTAATGTTTGCAGAATTAATAGCTAATGTCGTATGTACTTACGTCGAAGAAAAGAATAAGTTATTCCTTAACAAAAATATTTACAGTGAAAATTTAGAATTTTTGAAACCAAATAAGTATCTACAAATAGCACAATAGCACACATAGTGCGAAATATGATTAAAAATTTCCCGTAGCCCGCAGTATTCGTTATTCTTTTTGAGCATATCATTAATTTGTTTAATGGTATTTGGACCTTGAGGCCTAAAAGATCCATTTAACATACAATTGATATGTGTTCCGCACCATTTCTTCCACATCATACTAGAGTATGTATGGCCATGTATAATAATAGGCGTCACTTATAGTACACTTAGTGTATGTATTCGGATGGGGCCTCCTACGGTGTTTCACCTTGAACTCATAGTCGCGAACCATGAATAACAATGGTGCCATCTCTATCTCATAATACGATCAATATGTTCGTTTTCTAATATTGCAAAACAAACTTCCGCCCGCGACTTAGTCCCAATTAACTTTAGTTTCACGCAAAATTATTATGCATCTCTTTTGTAAAAACCATTTAAAAAATTAAAGACATCAGTAAAGTCTCTCACATTACGATTCAGTCATTTTTTTAATAAAAAAGATTTGACAAAAGAATATCTATCACATGCTATGAAAAAATAATACACTCCTATTTTGTAGTATTTTATGACTCGAGGCCTACATTTAGTTTCCCTAACTTACATAATTTTTCCTCAGTCTTGTCTTGTCCATCCCTTAATATTACAGGGTCAAGTCACTCTTTGTCTTTCAGATTAAGTTTATTTTCCGCTAAATGTTTTGTAGCGATCTACGCTATGCTATTTATTAGTTTCGCATAAAACATCTCACTTTGCTGGAAGATCGTTTTACTGGCTTGACCTTACAACTTGAATATTTAATTGTCAGGTAGCGTGTCTGATTATTTTCTATTTTGTAAGATAAAACATATTCACAAGTCTTATAGTGTATGCTGAAGCCTTAAAATATTTTTATGTTCCCAACCATGCCTCACATCCACAAAAACAGCAAACAACCAGATGCGCCATTATAAATGTTAGTTTAGTCAATGTAGTGTAATACTAAGTTTAATAGGGAGGGAGTTGTCTGTAATACAATATGTATTCCTTCATTCACCATAAAAGAGTTTTGAAGAATCTAAAAATACGTGGAATTTATCTTCTTTGCTGTATCCAAAAATTTAATGGTCTTTCTAAATATCTGAAACCTACGAGTATATAGTTTTTTTTAAAGATCTAGATAACTCTCCATTTCGCCTAGTGTTTAATAATAATAAATAATAATAAAAAATAAAAAATATTCCTCTTGAAGTAAACTTCTATGCCATTTTATATTTAGAAGAAGAAAAAAAGGCGGTTTAGTGTGTCAGTCAGCCCATGGTATGTACTCGTTTAAGTAAATTACTTCCTTAATACCAATTTGAGTGGAAAATCTGTTGTGTCCGACAGGACACATTTTGATTTGACAGGAGACAACAGATCCACGGATCAAAACAGACATGTTTTGATTACACACGTACTTGCTATCAATATATGGTTGGTAGTTAAGTATATTTTCGTCTGATATTAAATAGAAAACCTTAGTTTTGTTTTGGAAAGCGACAGAATCACAGCATCAAAAAGGTTTTTCAAGAAGTCTTCTGTAGATGGCTGTTGCTTTTCCAGAAACTCTCAAACTTCCTCTAATGCAAACAGTTTCATGATCTGAGTACCGCCCTGTTTGTTTACATTTGCGGAGTAAGATTTCGCTAGCACGTTCTCCGCTGTAAATCAGTATGTTTTCGGTGATTCTAATCAGAAAACACTCGTGTTGATTATGAAACATTAATGTCGAGAATTCATTGAGTATTACGATTAGTATTTTTGGGGATTGATTCATTACTATTATCGTCCAAAAACTTTTATTTATTTGGTTAGTCAACGATTGATATAATCAACTTACTTTCCGAAATAGGTACATAGTAAAACATAAATTAAGCATATGTTACAAATAAAATAACAAATGTCTCACTTTATTTTTTTTAAATTCTCCAAAAAAAACAACATTGAGTTATGATATAGATGTCAGTAATTAAAAAAAAATAGAGACAAATGAAAAAACACGCAAATTAAAAAAAAACAGAACAATATATACAAATGTATCATCATTGGAAGTTGTCTTTTTTAATTACCATAAGTAATTTATAATATATTATTTTTTTAAGTTCTTAACGGTAATAAATAGACCATTATATTTTAAAAGATATCTAACTGAAATATAGTTGGTAAATCTTTAAATAGATCTTATGAAAATTAACAGGTTCAACAACTTTTTCAACCCCTGACATTTTGATCCATAACGTATGACGTACGAAAAGGTTCCTCTTCATAGGTCACAGGGTTTTTATACAATACTGAAGCCTTATAAAATACCCGTATGTTTGAAACTTATATTCTTCCGGTATTTAATAACTATTAGGAGTTGACATGTCAAAGAACAAACAAACATGCCTTTAATAACACAAACATTGTTATGATATAATATTTATTCGTGTTGCTAAAGTTTCTTTGAGTAAGAAGATCATACATTTCTATGACAGACTAGCTTCTCCGCGCTATTGTTCCCGTTAACATAACACACAAAGTTCTTGTTTTTTTTTCGTAAAATCCTCTACAAAGTATACGCCTTCTTATAAAAAGAGATTGATGAATCCGGTTCTCATTGTCGCACCGTAAATAGAGAAAAAGCAAAAAAAAAATAGGGATTCATGTGATAAATAAACGTGAAATGTTTATGATTTTACAATTCTCTTCCCATTTCTTTTTTTACTATACTACCTTAATGTCATTTTCATATGTTATTTAGGAAAGTCAGGAAAACACTTCAAATTTATAAAATAATAATAAATTTTCCAACACACACCAATTAGCCTAGCCCCAAAGCAAGCACTGTAAGCTTGTGTTATGGGATTGCATAGACTTGCATAATAGACATCAAATAAAATAGAATTATCCGAACATTCAATCAAATCCTCTAACCGCTCGAATACTTTTGGAAGAGAATGGGACGAAATCTAAATGAGGTAGGTAACGTTAAAGGTTTTCATTCCTTTTTACAAATCTAAATTTTAGAAAATTCGAAACTGTCATACCATACACCTCATTCAAAATAATCGTAAGCTAGTAATACAGTTATATTCTAATGCCAGTAAAAATTCAACGCGTCGTGTCTTAGGAGCCTTTGAGTTCTGAGTTTTGCGGTCCACACGTTGATTCGTTGTTGAGTAAAACTATCGAGTAATGGTACCATTTGTAAGTACGGACCATAATAATATTGTAAACCGTTATAATATTATTATATCCGTATTTATATCCGTGTTAGTATTGGTAACCATCATATCCCTCTCGTCCCTGATCTCTGCCGAATACAATATTACCGATAACTTCACATATTTTCCACTTACATATTAAGCAACTCTCAAAGTAGATTTACAATGCTTTGTTTCTTTTAAAGAGGATTATTTTTCTATATTTAATAGCTCTGCTGTAAATGATATATAATTCTAGTACTTGTGTTATCTCTGCTACGGAAATTCTTATATGCAATCACTATTATCTACATTCTTAGTAAGGTCATTGCAATGTCAAATAGGTGCAAATATGATGCTTAATGTTTATAGCTGTATTTAATTTATATTTAAATTTAATATACAAAACATTTATTTTGAATAAATTAAAATAGGTCAACCCTTTACTGTTATTTAGCTGTAATTTATTATTACTTATTTACAATAAAGTTTTTATTGCCTACGGGATATTTCAGATAGATATATAGACATAGACTCAAAAATATTTGCAGCTTTACCTAAGTTAGTACGTAGAACCAAAATACATTTATCTACCATACAATACGATAAGTGAGCAAGTAAACACGCACGGTTCCGAACAGTAAAATTCCTTCCGAAATATTCGCGTATCGGAATCAGCTGACACCGACAGGCGGCGTCATGTTGATGTATCATCGTCATCAAGATGGCCGCCAAAATGGCTGCGAGTTTGTTTATATACAATTGTTACACTTGGCAAGGTTATACGTGAGCACATCCTATTAGAAGACCACTGAAACTTACGTAATTTTCTATTCAACTAATGTGAGAGTAAT